AAAAATGTTAATATTTAACTAGAAGGTTCAGGGGGCTCATGCATTTGACAGGTTGGACCTGTTTCAGATATGGTAAGATCTAGCAAATAATTATATAGTTTAGACTTATGGAAGGGTTGGAAAAATATTACACATAGTTTCTATATACCCTTTACCCTGTTTCCCCTTAACCATAGAATTTATCAAAATTAAGAGATTAACCTTCTGGCACTATCTTTTTAACCATGCCGGCCACGTGTGTTATAGAATGTCCGACGAGTTGACTTCCTCTGAATTTTCTGATGAGATTGAGGTTATGCATTGCTGGCAGGAGGCCGTAGAGGTGCCGTGCCCTCCTAGTGCACCATATCGGGGGTATGTGATGTCGACGTGCCTCATTATCAGTGATACCAAGCTTGAAGTGGCTAAGGTGTCATCTGCCAGGATTCTTCATGTAATATAACTGTTTTTCCCTTTGTAATTTGCCAACTATTTTGGAAGAGAGACGCTCTATCAATATTAAAAACATACATTTTTGACCCAGAAATAGATCCACAAAGAAGTGATTTGTTTCATCTCCTGCAAAATGGGGTGATACTGCCCCCAAAGCTGGTACGAGCCCCTGTATTGAGCAGTGCCTCACAACAGTAAGCTTGCCGTTCGTTCATCTCAAGCTCCTTGAGGCCTGCTAGGTTTGGAATTCAGGACTTTTTTCAGAATTCAGATAACACCGGGCATTTATTATATATTATGTGACAGCCCCAGGAGGATCTAGGACAGCACCGCATACTCAAACACCCATCTTTCTGCAGTGAAATGTAAGAGTATTCACATGAAGGGAGGAAGATAAAGACGTTAAGTAGCTTCAGACAAGTTCTGATCAGACCTTGATCTCAGTTCAGGTTTTGTTGCTGGAAAAGTTTTTAAAAATCCGAGTTTTTAGAGACTGTTTTGGATTTCAAAGTTGTGAATAAGGGACTGTACACATAGGTAAGAGTTCGTAAGCACAGAGATGGGTGCACAGCTCCACATCTGCAGTTTCAACTAGCTGTTCAAAATGTAGTTAAGCCTGGCCTGGCATGGTGGCTTCTGTAATCCCAGCACTTTGGGAGGCCGAGGCAGGCAGATGACTTGAGGCCGAGAATTCAAGACCAGCCTGGCCAACACGGTGAAACCCCCTCTCTACTAAAAGTACAAAAAACAAAACAAAAAAACACTGGGTGTGGTGGCGGGCACCTCTAATCCCAGCTACTCAGGAGGCTGAGATGGGAGAATCCCTTGAACCTGGGAGGCAGAGGTTTCGGTGAGCCCAGTTTATGCCACTACACTCCAGCCTGGGCGATAGAGCAAGACTATGTCTCAGAAAAACAAAAAGATAGTTAGGCCTACAGTGGTTGCTTCTGTACTGAACGGGTATAGACTTTTTTGTCATTAGTGCCTAAACATATGGCTTAACAGCTAATTACATAGCATTTACATTGTACTAAGTATTATAAGTAATCTAGACATGGTTTAAAGCTTAGAGGAGGATGTGCCTGGGTTGGATGCAAATATGCCATTTTATATAAGGGACTTGAACATCCTTGGCTTTTGGTGTCCTCAGGGGGTCTTGGAACCAATCCCTAGTGAATACTGAGGGACAGCTGTGTAAGGCTGTTTATGGTAGCATTGTTGGAAGTAAGCCTGGAAAGCCTTGAATATTTCTCTGTAGGAGATCAGTTAAGCAAATCTTGGCACACAGTGGTGCCCTATTCAGCCCTTTGAAAAGAATGGAGCAAACCATAATGTGCTACTAAAAAAGGGAGGCAAGATGTGTTACTAAGAAATACACAGCATTTGCAGAATAATGTGAATGGTATGATCTTGTTTGGATTAAAGTAAATATATTGATGCTTATATATGCATCTAGAAACATCTAGAATAGTGGCTATACATATGAATCACCTGGGGAGGTTAAAAAATACCAATATCTGGGCCTTGCCCTAAACCCCATTGAATTAGAAATGCAGAGGTGGGGGCCAGGTGTGATGGCTCATGCCTGTACTCCCAGCACTTTAGGAGGCTGAGGCGGGAGGATCACTGAGCCCAGGAGTTTGAGACCAGCTTGAGCAACGTAGTGTGACCCCGTCTCTACAAAAATAGAAAAAATTAGCTGGCATGGTGGTGCACACCTATAATCCCAGCTACTTGGTACGCCCAGGTGGGAGAATCGCTTGAGCCCAGGAAGTTGAGGCCGCGGTGAGCTGGGATCGCACCACTGGGCAGCTATGTCAGCCTGGGCAACAGAGTGAGACCCTGTCTCAAAAAAAAAAAAAAAAAAAAAGGAAAAAAGAAAAGAAATGCAGTGGTGGAGCCCAGGTATTGATATTTTAAAAAGTTTCAGGCTGGGCGCGGTGGCTCATGCCTATAATCCCAGCACTTGAGGAGGCCAAGGCAGCCAGATCACGAGGTCAGGAGATCGAGACCATCCTGGCTAACACGGTGAAACCTCGTCTCTACTAAAAATACAAAAAACTAGCCGGGCTTGGTGGCGTGCACCTGTAGTCCCAGCTACTCGGGAGGCTGAGGCAGGAGAATGGCATGAACCTGGGGGGCAAAGCTTGCAGTGTGCTGAGATGGTGCCACTGCACTCCAGCCTGGGTGACAAAGTGAGACTCCATCTCAAAAAAAAGTGTCCCAGGTGATGCTGGTGCCCCTTGAGTGTTCAGGACCATTGGAATAGAAAGACCCAGATGAGGGAGATGCAATTTATACTTTTTTTTTTTTGAATCAGAGTCTCGCTCTATCACCCAGGCTGGAGTGCAGTGGTGTGACCTTGGCTCAGTGCAAACTGTGCCTCCTGGGTTCAAGCTTTTCTCCTGCCTCAGCCTCCTGAGTAGCTGGTACTACAGGCATGCACTACCATGCCTGGCTGATTTTTGTATTTTTAGTAGAGACGGGGTTTCACCATGTTGGCCAGGCTGGTCTTAAATTCCTGACTTCAGGCCATCTACCTGCCTTGGCATTCCAGAGTGCTGGGATTACAGGCGTGAGCCATCGTGCCTGGCCAATTTATACTTTACTGTGTGTAGTTTCCCATTTTTTCCTTAGCAAAAGCCATTTGGAAAAGACTCCACTCTGGGTGACAGAGACCCCGTCTCTAAAATAAATACATAAAAATTTTAAAACACTTAAGAGTCACAAAAGAGACTCTTGTGATCAAAATGAGATACAATAGCACAATGAAGACACTTTTTCAGCAGATCTGTAGAATCTTCTAGAAGTTTCTTGTGTCTGCACTTATGCTCCTTGAGTATATTCAGTGCTTGCTGATATCAGCTGATAATTGAAAGAAAAACGTTGTTTCCCCGTTCATCCTAAGAGGCCAGAAGCTGGTAAGACATGAGCGCAGGTCAGAATTTCCACCCATGGTAATTTTGGGGGTGCTTTATTTTAGATGATTCGGCTAGATTGCTGCTTTATCTCCGGGCAGGCCCCCATACTAGTAGCTAGCTGTTAAGAAAGAGGAAGTCTTTTGGTGACCCACTTGGAAAGACCATCGGGTGAGGATCAGCTCTCCCATGTCCTCACTGCTAAGAATTGTGTTTTGCAGGTGAATCCTCGGTGGTCTCCTCTTCCCTCCCCATCCCTTGTCTTTTCCCCCTCCTCTTCCCCTTCCCTTCCCTCCTCTGTTGCTAGACACCCCTGGCGTGAAAGGCGCTCTGTGCTCAAAGGCTGTTTGTTGCAGTGCAACCGCTCTCTCTCTGATAAGGTTCTGTTTTATCTGGCTCAGCAAAAGCCATTTGGAAAAGTCTAGTTTCCTTGTTCCTGGAGACCAGTGCTTGCAGCCGGCCAGACCTGGCTTTGAATTGAAGCCCATTAACGAAATTTATGGCGTCTTTCTTCTAAGCTGTATTTTTGTGCACTCTGTAGCTCTCACACAGAGTCACTGTTTTTCCTGACCTGAGGTGTACGATGCAGCAGTTGCACAGATACGGTCCCTAAAGTGAGAAATGAATGTTCGAAAGACAAGGTGCTCTCATTTGGCGTGGAGTGAATGCCTTGTTTCCATCTCAGATCCGAAGATGGAACACATTTTTCCCAGTGACTTCAGGCAGATGGCACACCTCCCACTTCTGTTGTGTGTCATGAAGGAGAAGACACGTCTACAGCCAGGGCTGTGCCTGAATAATGATGTACATGGGTGGAGGCGGGGAGGTTCACATTCACCTCTAGAATGGCTTTTCTGCTTTGCTTGAGAAATGCTTTAATTGGCTGTCATTAGTAATCCCGTCAAGGGTGAAAAAACCTCCCTTGTTAGGACTCAAAGCAAAAAGCTGTCTCTGAGGAGTAATGAGCAATATACTCTTTCTAATATGATGCGGAAGCACTTAATATTTGTTATTGGTGTTTACAGAAATGATTACTTCTCAAACATTGCTGCTTACAGAAATGATTAATTCTCAAACTCTGTCGGGAAGGTGAGTATGGTAAGGATTTTACAGGGAAGGAATCTGAAGTGTAAGAGAAATCATGTCTTGCCCCAGGTCTCGAGCTAATCTGTGACAGGTTTTGGGGCGGTGCCTGCTCCTCTGAGCCTGTCCTGGGAGCTGGCCACACTGCCCTGGGTGCACAGCACCGTGGGCTCTGTGCGTGCCATCTGAATATTCTCCCTCGACAGCTTTGCACATCAAGAAGCAGCTACCAGCCCATGCTTCCTGGCAAGACCCGTTTCCTCTCTGTTGTAAGGATGATACGGTCTGCTTCGGAGATGATAAATACTAGCATTGATGCGTATTTATTTGCTTTTACTTGGCAGATTCTCAGTGCTGATTTTGAGATGATGGGCTTGGGAAACGGGCGTCGCAGCATGAAGTCGCCGCCGCTCGTGCTGGCCGCCCTGGTGGCCTGCATCATCGTCTTGGGCTTCAATTACTGGATTGCGAGCTCCCGGAGCGTGGATCTCCAGGTGTTTTGTTTTGTTTATTATGTTTATTTTATGTTTATGTTTTGTTTATTTTGTTATGGGGTCTGAGGCGTTTGTTGTTCATTGCCAGCCAGGGCATTTTGCACAGGGCACGTGCTGTAAGGTGAGTTTAGGGCTCTGCACACCCCCACAGCCCTGGGTCAGACCCCAAGCGGCTCCGCTTTGGGTGGGAGAGGCCCCCCCTGTGGTTGTGTAGGATTGCGGTTGTATCCCTCCCTGCTTTTCCTGTGAGTTAACAGCTTTCATTTGAGCTACTGGGGTGGTTCTGGGAAGAAAGACAGCCTGCTTACATACACTGGCCACAGTCCGTCGTTTACGGTCCTCCAGTGCACAAGATATCGAAGAGCAGTACTGGAAGTGTGCTTGGATGATGGGTGTAAGAAATATGTTTTTAAAGGTACCAATCTTTATCTTCATCATTTAATAATGATAATTTTAAGGTTCTCATTTACTGTTGCAGTCATGGGTCAGGTACAGTGCTGAGCAGTGACAGAGATGGTCCTCTTGATCAAACTTGAATCTGGCCCTTCTGAGGGTCTTGACTAGGCCTTGATCTCGGCCCCTCCCAACTCCCACTCCCTGTCTTTGGCGTGCCCAGCCGAGTCATAGCAAAGGATCCCGCTAAGCCATCCTTCTACCCCTGATCCTTGACCAGGTTCCTCATCCCTACCCTTGCTGTCTAAGTCCTTGGCCTGCGTTTAGCAAGAATCTTGTTAGGCCAGTTTAGCAAGAATCCCCCTACTCTGAGGGGATTTCCACGCACTGGCTCCCCGCACTGTGCTCGCTCGTTGACTGTGAATCCCCAGCTGTGTTTGATGTGTTCGGCATTGAGCACGGTTTCCCTCTCTTACCGCAATCATATTGAGTAGTCTTTCTTACCGTTTTAATAAATGTCAGAATAATTTCTCTTCCACAGTACTTGACACAAATTACTCCTTTGGTGCACAAACCCTACAAGGTTGGGACTTGACGTTCCTCATTTCACAGGGTGTCAGACTGAGGCACAGAGAGGTTGAGGTGGAGCAGGGATTCCAACCCGCGTGGGCTTAGCCGTGGCACCTCAGCCTGTCTGCGCTTTGTCCTGTTCTCACACTTACCCTCCTGGGCTTGTACTCCCTGTGTCTCAGCTTCCACAGGAGCTCCTGTTCTCTGGGCAGATGAAGTCTGCTTGTCTGGGTTGGAGAACTGAATCTGGTTTCAGAAATCATGTCTGCTAAAGATTTGTTAAGTACTTTGTTAGCGGAGAAGGAGAACTAAATATTTGAGCATCATCTCATGTCAGGTAAAGCATGAGGCATTCTATGCACTTAGCGTATTTAAGCCTCACGAAAACCCAGTGGGAAGCGTGGTGTGAATGCATGGAGCCTTCCTTCACTTACACTGACAGAGACCATTTTTCCAGAAGAACCTGTGCCAGCTTCTTTACAGTTGACTTAAAACACAGAGCCTTGGGCACTTGTGTATATGAGGCTGGTGCTGGCCCTGGGCCCCAGGGTGGTCTTTGTGGAGGGCTCTCAGCTGGTCCAGGCTCCGTGGGTAACTTGGCATCAGCCCTAACGCTGTGGTCTCCTTGTAGACACGGATCATGGAGCTGGAAGGCAGGGTCCGCAGGGCGGCCGCGGAGAGAGGCGCCGTGGAGCTGAAGAAGAATGAGTTCCAGGGAGAGCTGGAGAAGCAGCGGGAGCAGCTCGACAAAATCCAGTCCAGCCACAACTTCCAGCTGGAGAGTGTCAACAAGCTGTACCAGGACGAAAAGGCAAGGCCTGCTTTGTTTCCTCTCAGTTCTCTTCTAAGGGATGGTGTCGACATTGTCTGTTTCTTCTTGGCAGGAGGATGGGCCAGCGGCTGGGTTTAGGTTTATGTAATTATGTGGAAAGAGCCTGTTGATCAAGCTGTGGGCATTCTCCCCTTTTCCCTCCAAGTCCCTGGCTGGGCTTGCGGTGAAGTCTTTTGCAATGGTGATAAACAGGAGAAATGCAGAAGAACAATTTCAGATTCGTCCTATTGGCTTTTTTTTTTTTCCTTTCTCCTATTGATTTTTTTTTTTTCAATTTCTACAAACATGTATTAAATACCCACTCTGTGCCAGGCTTATGCCAGGTGCTTATATCTCAGAGGAATGATATTTGTGCCCTCCAAGTATCTAACGGAGAGGAGAGGCAGACTCTACTAAATACTAACAGAGAAAGTAGGGTACTGCACACTGGCTTTTAAGCTAAGAATAAAACCAACAAATCCTGCGTAGATTAAAAGGGGCTTCCTGCTAGTTAAAATATCTAAGCTTTATGTGTCAGTTTTTCTGGTTTTCTTTTTTTTCTTTTTTTTGAGATGGAGTCGTTCTGTCACCCAGGCTGGAGTGCAGTGGCGCAATCTCGGCTCACTGCAACCCCTACCTCCTGGGTTCAAGAGATTCTCCTGCTTCAGCCTCCTGAGTAGCTGCGACTACAGCTGCCGGCCACCATGCCCGGCTACTTTTTGTATTTTTAGTAGAGAC